AAATCTAAAGATTTGAAGACGATAGATATCAGCAATAGATATTAAGTCTCGGAATGCCAAGATCCGGATTTCATGTTCCCGAAAAGACAATCATCAGTTGGCTATGACTCTGCTATAATTTAGAAAGCATACCACGACCGGTTTCGTCCTTGCTTAAGGGACTTCTCAAGTGGCTTAAGACATCTTAATCGATTACAAGAATCAATTAAAATATCTTCTACAAGAATAGAAAGTTAAAAGAATTCTGAGAATCGACACGACGTTTCGTCCTTTCTCATGGGACTCGTCAGGTATCTTTAGAATTCTATTATTACATAAATCGAAACCCTCCAAATAATTGAAGAAGTTAAGAAAATCGTAATAATTCTTTAAATCAATAAATATAAGTTTTGAAGTTCAAAGCATCACACGGCGCACTTCGACTTCTGCTAACACTGTCTTCTTCAGGCATGTTTAGAACTTATAGTTACATAATAATAGGTGGAAACCGACTGATATAAATGCGGTAGTAGAGACCTGATAGCGTAACGACAAAATCTGTTTATTTTAATTATTAACTATAAGGGGGAAGTTGATAGCATTACGCGAATATTGTCGTCCTAGTATGATGGAATCGGTAAGTACTTGTTCTAGTCGGTATCTTTTCGATCAGAGATTGTGAAGGGAAAACAATCGAACATTACCATTTCGATAGAGTTTATTAAATTTTTGCATCGAAGAATTTTACTTGCTAGGGAATGTGGAGTTGCTGACATGAAGATTTTTTCGTGCTTCTTTCAGATACTCATCGAATGAATGCATCTTTTGGTGGAAGATAAATGTCTTCCTCAATACTCTCAACGAAGTTTCTAGTTACTTAAAACATATGCCATACAAAATGCGCTATTTGAAAGTATTATGCTATGTGAAAATTAAATTTTCTACTGGTATGCTTTTAAACATTTACTATATAGAAGACATTGTTTGACAATTGTTGATTTTGTTGGACAAATTGGAAGTATTAGTAGCATGAATTGAATTGTGAGATGTATATAATGGACATAGGTTTAGTCAGAAATAAACTGAAATCAATAGATGGAGAGTAAGGGAGATCCTTAGAATATTCCAGTTACATATGGAATTTTAATCATGAATGTTGTATTGTTCTCTTTCTTCATAAATACATTAGCTATGCTAGTGGTCTAATTACATTCAATTGTGATGTAGGTAAAAATTCCGAACACTATCGTTCATGAAATCAATTTTTTAGTATCGATCCGTCTATTTTCTATCAAATGTTGTATAGTATATGTGATATTTCGACATTTAAATATTCTGTGTGACTACATGTATTACTAACAAAAGAAAAAAAAACGAGTGGTTATAGTTTCGACATCGCAATGTTTTTCGGTAGCTTGTCACGCTGGCATCGTTTAAGGCTTCTTTAAAAATGAAATTATGAAAAGTGAATTCGTCGACATGCTATTTTTTGTTGACATAGTAGAATAACGACGAAATTTTTACTTCTCTCTCTGATGCATATTTTCAAGGTTTTTGCTATTTTAGACACATAAAAAGTTTGTTTACTAGAATACAATAATTTTCCGCGAGAGAATACAACGAAATTGTTCTTTTCTTCCTGAGTAAATACAACCAATATATGTTGCCTTTTTATTCAAATTCATCTACGTTCCTTTACTCATTTTGATTTTCGAACTCTTACGATATTCTCACTACGAAGCATTTTTAATATTACCCAAACACTATTCTAAAGCATTGCGAAACAGGTATGTATAGAAGTAAAATTTTCTATGATCAATTCGCATTTTTGCAATGATAACATGTTTCCTTCAATTTCCGTGCCTGGATCTGGTGTAGATTTGAACATTTTTTACAACAGAAGGCCGTGCTTCAGGAAGAATCTTCCACATTCCTATTATCATTGCTTCACAGCACAAAACAAACGTTAAGCTTCTTAGACATCGTTTATCGCAAGATGCCACAACAGAATAAATTGCACATTTTTAGTATATACATCGATATAACCGTAAATGCAATATGGTTCAGCCATATAAGAGCAAGCTTACTGTTGAAATTGAAATTCAACAATTAGAGATACTACTAGCTAATAAATCAATATCGATTGTATGTCTTTCATTGTGCTTTTGAGTTTGATCATAAAATTCATTGTACACTTTTTGCAATTTCATATTCAGGGCAACAGTGAATGGACAAGTATAAGTACTGAAAGTACAAGTAGAAGTACTTTTTACTCACAAGATATACTTTGTACTTGTACTTACTTAGTGTGTACTCAAGTGCAAAAGGGTTAAGTATTCATACTTAAGTACTTTTGCATACTCAAGTACAAATACTTGTATTTGTTTGGATGAAAATTTAGTATTCTAGTATCATTGCACAAACAGTTACTGTAGAATATGTGGTACATATAGTTATAGTAATATGATAGTCATTGTTATTAAAAGGAGTCCTCATTCGTCTTGTATGAGATCTATGAACAGAAATGAATATATACGAACATGTCCGAAAAAGAGTAGCACACGACAAAGTGACTAGTAAATAAGTATAATATAAACACTTCTTCCTCTTGATATACAACTCTTATAATGGCTATTTGCTTTATATGATATTCAATTATACATGAGAATTTATTTTTGCTTAGTCATTAATCGCTATTAAATGGCTCGTGAAAATTGGAGAAATTATTTTGAATTTTCTCCTTTTGATAAAAAGCGAACTAATGGCTTATGTAGATTATGTAATCGAAATTACAAAGATCAAAATGGAATCTATAGTAATTTTTTAAAACATTTAAAACGAATACACCCCACAGAATACGACCAAATTTTCAATCGTGAAAACGATTTCTCCAATGATGAGAGGAATACAATTGATATTGATCAAACAACAACTGATATATCAAATACAAAATCCAGAGAGAATCGTATTACTCTATCCATTACCAAAAATCTAATTATTCGATGTAATTTACCATTAAATTTGGTCGAAAACCAAGCTTTTCGAGATTTTATGAAAGAATGTTATTTTAAATATGAGCCTGTATCATCGAAAAAAATAAAACGTGATATTATCCCTTCGTTAAGAAATAAAGTATTCGAAAAAATTCATGAAACATTAAACAATGTTAATTATATAACATTAACTATTGATGTTTGGTCCGATCGTCGCTGTCGATCTTTTCTCGGTGTTACATGTCATTTCATTGATAATAGGATGATACCACAAGCGTATTTAATCGATCTTTTACGTCTCAAATCTCCTCATACTAGTGAAACCATTCAGCAACTAACAGAAGACGTTCTTGAACGTTTTCATATCAAGAAAAAGATATTTAAAATCACTACCGATAATGCATCGTCAATGATTAAAGCATACAAGTTTGGCTTATGTGTTAGTGCTGATGATGAAGAAGCTGATGGTCAAAGCAAGTTGATCTTAGATTTTGATTCAACCTATGACGAACTTGAGTGTAAGTTGCGTTCTCTCATGAAATAGTAACTCTTCTAGCAATAAACATGAAGTGAAATGAACAGACATATTGAGAGTATCTTTGATATAATTTATCATCGATTAAGTTGTCTTCAATATAATGACCTACAACATTGTTCTAGGGATATTTTCATCTGTGTATGAGTGTAGAAGGATGTCCGTCTGAAAGTATTGTTACTACTCTTTATTAAAATTTCACATTAGTATTGATCATAATATCATTTTGTTTTCAATTCTAGCAGATATTCAACCTCACAAATTTGAAATTATAAACGTACAACTGGATGATTTTCATCAATCTGAAGATGTGGCATCAGTACGATTATCGTGCTTCGCCCATACCATACAATTATGCGTACGTGATGGATTAAAGAATGTGCCACATATATCACGAGTGCTTGAAAAATGTCGAATACTACAAACATGTTCAAGTCAATCATCTAAAATTGCCGATTTACTCGATGAAATACATAAACATGTCAACAAAATGACTATCACAAGATGGAATAGTGAATATATGCTGATTAAATCTATTCTATCGATTAAGAAAACCGACTTAGAATCAATTGTTAAATTGATGGACAATCCAGTAACATTCTTGGCTAATGATTTTACAATTCTGGAAGAAATTCTTGAAATTCTTGAACCCTTTAATGAAATTTCTGTTAAGTGTCAAGCAGTTACAATTGTTACTGTTAGTCTTATCGTACCGGCGATAATACATTTAATTACTCATTTACGTGACATTAAATCAAACCTCACATTCTGTATGAAACTTGTTGAACAACTTCAAGTAGCAATCGAAACGCGTTTTGCTGGTATTATTCACCGAGTAAATCTAGTGAATGTGGAGAAAAATGATCCATTTAATGATCCTCTATATTTTATGGCAGCTGTACTAGATCCTTCATTCAAATTTTACTGGATTCGTGATTTAAAATTACCTGTGAATTTTGAGAATCGATTAAAACAAAACGTTATTCAACTTATTCTTGATGAAATTAGCAAAGATTTACCGACATTATCACACTCACACGATGAAACATCCTTCTACTCCTCTGCCTCCTCCTCCTTCGCCTCATCATCGACACCATCATTCGCAACAACAACCATAACAACAGTTCCTCTATCTATTGCACCTAAATTTAAAAGAAAAAAACTGTTTGCATACACTGATAGTAATGATGATGCAAATCATATGCTAGCACTGGATCCTGCTACTGAGTTAGACACTTATTTAAATGATCCGCTACGATCCAAGTTCTCGGAATATTGGTTTCATTCTCGACTGAATCTATTGAAGAAATTAGTTACACGTATTTTCTCTGTTCAAGCGTCATCTGCACCTGTCGAACGAGTGTTCTCACATGCTGGTTTGATTTTGTCATCACGACGAATGAATATGAATGAACAATTGTTTAAAGACTTAGTTTTCTTGAAAGTCAATCAAAGTTTATTGTAAATTTACTAACTATTTTGTTGTTAATATTGTTTATTTAATATGTTTCATTTGATATCAACTGATGGTCTATTTTACTTCAATTCATGGAATAATTGATAGCATTAAGGTTTTTGTGCTAGTCACTTTCTGATTCACTTAGTTTGTCAAAATTTAAGAGATTCTTTCTAATGAATTGTTCGAACCTGGCAGTACATATTATAAAATCAGAGTGTCTGTCGAATTTACTACTCGTGATATTGAAACAAAGCAAGGATGCGTAGGAACGTCGCAAATATGAAGAAAAATTGAATTTCCATTACATATTTTATAAGTCAAAATATCTATAATTAATCCATATTGGCAAAGCAATGTTCTTACTTAGTAGTGCATTATATTAGCACTTCTTTAGTAGTATCCGTACTGAAGTACACTAGTTTACTGTAAGTAAATGCACTTGTACTCGAGAGAACTACTATGTACTTTACATTAAGAAGTATTAAAGTAAAAAATTACTAAGTAATGTACTGAGTATCCAATCACTGCATGAAAAGAGTAATGGAAGTTTTTTTTTTCTTGCGCAGAAGAAACATAATAAATAAAACTATCGAAGAAAATGAAAAAGAACAACTTTTCACGTTACAAATCATACAACATATGCACTACATAGCTGTTTTATTACAAAAAAATATAGCTGATCTAGAGAAAACAAAACATGAACTTTAAATACTCCTGCATTCAAGATTCGGTTTCTAATACTATGACAAAAGCTATAAAGAATTGTATGTAGGCTGTATATGTGAGTGAAGATTGTTTTTCATCTTCATCGTAGTATGTAACAGATTACTTACGAGCTGTCTATATCAGTCTTGTTTCATAGTCTTGTGTAGTGTTGTTAACTATGATACATTTAGGTTGAAAGAGAATTATAATGAGATTCTTGAGAAACTAAAATCAAGGAGTATTGGTCTTCATTTCAATCTATTAATATACGCCTAGGCGGACGACACAATAAATAAATTATCACTTGCCTTTGCTATATTCTGACTCTAGTGCACAAGTTCGTGACATGGCCCAATTACTAGTGATCTTTGATCATTCTGGCTCCATGAATGGAGAAAGATATGAAAACTGTCGTCGGGTAAAAAAGTATCCAACACTTTCATAATAAAAAGCATTTTGTTTGCAGGTATGTATGGGATTCACGGACCCATTTGAACTATGGTTATTTGGAAACGATGTACAAAAAAAGGGAATTGTACCAAGTATTCCACAATTTCCGTGTAATTCTGGAACCTCTATTACGACAATGTTGAACGAACTGCACGCATGGATGAGTATCAACACCAACAAACAAGTATGTATCCTGACGGATGGTGAAGATCAATATGATGAAACTAGCTTTACCAACCGGTTTAACCAAATCAGCAATCGTAACCATCAAGTTACCATATATGACATTTGTAAAACGAATGTGGAGCCACTGAAAAGAATTTTCGCTAAATTTTTAGTCGTCGTCGCAACTAGTGTTGATGAGATCACCCAACTCGTGCAAAAGTTACAACAGGTGATGGCCAATGATAAAGTTTTAATTGCAGCCGTCACAAGTGTGGGCTCTAATGTTCAGCGTATAATTCAGAACTACGCGGAACTCGAAAAAGCAACAGAACAGCTCAAAGTCATTACTACACGTCTCAAAAGTCAAAATCAGACTGTGACGACGACTGCTGAACAAGCAATCAAAAATAAAAAAATAGATGACCTAAAAGAAGTGGCTGAGCAACTTAAGAATCATATCACGGAGATGGCAGACCACGTTGCAAACCTGACCAAAAACCAAAGAAAAGTCAAGCAGTTGCAAAGCGATATAGAAGATCATAAAGACGATATAAAAAAACTGCGTAGAAAAATTCAAGCCGAAGAAAATTCACCGGATGCCAATCAACAGAAAATTGCTAATTACAAAGCGGAGATAGAGAAGCATGAAAGAGAGCAGAGTCAGATCCTACTAAACGTTGAAGCATTAAAGAAAAATAGTGCCGATGCAGTAGAAGAGTTCGAAAGGCTTGAAGAAAAGACCAATGATACGCAAAACAAAGTAACTGTTACTTTGAAAACATTACCTAATTAGTGTCACAAGTCACCCAATATAAAGAAGAAACATTCCCATATATGCCTTTTGTATTCCCTTCTTCCTCTGGTACTGTCTCATAAAACTATTCGATCAACACCAAAAAAAGCATACTTACACTTTTTAAATTCTGAAATTGGATAATCATGTAAAAGATTTTCGAAAAAAATTATTATCATTTTCGAGGGCGTGGGTATTGGGTGGGAAGCGAGGTTTTCGCGAAGCAAACTATCTTGGGTGGGTGTGGGTGTGGGTGGGTGTGACAAGCAGCCATGACCGGTTTCGACCTTGCTCAAGGGTCTCCTCAGATGGCAATCGTACGACAGAATTGCGAAAACG